GATGGGGGGGGAAAGAAGGGGTTGGGGAACCGGGGAGGAGCTGCCCAGCGCCCCTGGAGGGGGCCTCGCTATGCCCTCGGGGCCTGGCAAGGCTGCGTCCAGCGTTGTTCAACGGGCTCGGGCCTGTGTCGTGCTTGTCGCTGGCAGCTTGAACTGCGTGGAGTGGAGCCTCCTGCCACCAGCGACCGAGGAGATGGTTGTGCAGGCTAAGCAGCTGAAGGGCCGTTTCGAGGGGGATCCTTCTTTTGAGTACGAGTACACTGAGATAAGTGCAGAAGATGCTGAAAGACTGTTTGAAGATGGTAAGGAGGTAAATACAGCAAAACACGAGCTCTCTTTGCTGCAGTTGTACCCCTCACACCGGGCAGGTAGTGGCTCCTCCCTGTGTGTAATAAGCAGCCGGAGCCTGTGCTCAGGCAGAATACACGCGATTTCCCCTTTGCTGTCACGGTGTAGCAATGGCTTCCTCACTGAACTCTTAACTTCACTTACTCCTGGGGTTGGGCACAGCTCAGCAATGTTCTGTCTCCCTTCTGTTGTATTATGCCCATTCGGTACGGATCCTCACTGCTGTGTCGGAAGCTTTACACAGGGACTGCAGGTACCATTCTTTATAATTGGATAGGCAAATTGTAAGTAGCTTAATTGAGAGGGAGGAGAGGCCGGGCGGAGGGACAGTTAGCTCTCTGGTGAGTCTAGACTGTCTGCTTCTATCCGCATTCTTACGAGAAGAATGTTTGATTTGTGGTCTTCTTAGTGCCACAGGGCTCCAAGCTGGTGAGTCAGTTGTGGTTTCTATTGTCACTCCGAGTGTATTTTCAGAAATGACAACAAGGAAAGCCCTGCCTTTAAAATTTGCCTATTTTGCTTTAAAGCCTGTGATCAAGGAGGAGGCCCGTCTTGTAGCTACGATAGAACAGATAGACAGAGAAGTTGGTATCGTCCCCCGGAGGGCATTTGTGAAGACTCCTCGTGGGTCTGTGCATGAAAACAGAAACTTTGAAGGTAAATTCTCGTTGTCGTTATCAGGATCAACAGTCCTTTGATCATAAAGGCTGTAAATTAAGTCGACTTTTCTTCTCTAGCTGATTTTTTGATTTCAGGTTTATTTTTTTCCTGGGGTAAGATGAACAAGGAGGAGAGAATGCAATGGCACTAATGTTCAGGTGCATGATTCAACTCTGGATGGTGGGAGGAAAGTCAGTAATGGCTCTGAGTCATTAAACCCGTAGTTTCATTTGTCTGTGTATAGTTGATGTCAGTGTTTAACAATTACAGCTGCAGTGAATCCTCTATCTCGAGACAGGATGTAACCAAATGGGCACAGAGAGCTGGCTTGGACTCGGCCCGTTGCTTACCTGGGACTGCAGTTAGCATGGTCTGCAGTGCACAGCATCAAGGAGTACTGCCACTCATTTCTGGCAAGTCTTTGGTCTCCTGTGGAATCCACTGGAGAAAGATTGTGATTCTGTCCTGTGCTGTGGGCGTTGGAGAAACAATATGACATTTGATGGTAGAACGTGTGTTGGCCCAGCTCACTGTGTTAATGGTCACCAATGGCTCTTTGCAGGTCTTTCTCTGACGGAAGCAAAAAAGTTAAGTTCCTATTTTCATTTTACTGAGCCTGTTAACCTGAAGAATAAAAGCCTGCTGGAAAAGGCTGACCTGGACCCATCCACTGACTTTCTGGACTCTCTGGAGCACGATATCCCACAAGGTAAAGGTAGCAGAAACAAGAGATGCGAGGAAAGGGAAGGCAGTCCAAGTAGCCTGGGAAATGCTGAGGTGACAAGGTGTGGGTTAATGTGGAGTTAGTACGCTTGGGAGAAGCTCCTGCAAAGCTGCAAAGGAACTTTATCCTTTAATGTTGTAACTGTTGTACTTAATTCTCTTTTAAAGTAATTATAAATGCTTACAGTGGTAAGATATAAGTGTACTGGGGCTGTCACATCCCGACAACAGGTCTGACCACATCAGCAGTTACCCCCTCTGCCCGAGTGCCATATTCCGTCCTGACTTCTGTCTAGCCTGTGACAGCTGGTGTCCCTCCAGGGAGAGATAACTCCACCAGTGATAGAGGGAATTTGTGTGGTTTGAAGTATTTCACACCTCTTGTCCCACCCACTATTGCTGCTCTTTATCTAAATGAGCTCTCATTAACACTAAGCTGATATCTCTGAGGCTGAGTTCAAACTTTCCTTTGATAAACTGCCTTAGAAATGCTGTAGTGTGGAATAACCTGTACTCTAGTGGGATTACACACTGTGGAAGGAGAAAGGAAGATGTGCATACTGGAATGTATCTTCAGTTCACATCTCTACGGTTCTGCTGGACAACTCTCAAATAAATTTAAAGCTTCTTCCAGGGATTCCTCTGGCAGGATATTTAGATAAAGAGATGGGAATGAGTTCTTATTTGTTTCTAACTGCTTTTTGCTGATTTGCTGCATTTTTTGAACCGAGACAAGCGTTCCCACATCCTGCTGTCTAGAAGGGTTCTTGGGACACAATCAGAATTTAAGTTTGCTATTTTATTCCTATCCTGAATTAGCAGCATAGGACAGTAGGTGTCCTGTGCCAGATGGAATTAGCTGGAAGGACAGCAAATTGCCAGTGCTGTGAATAGCTTTTCAGACTTTGTTATACATATACATATATATACACCAATATTTCCTTTGGCAAAAAAGAATGCAAAATGAACCTAGTGAGCTTCTGCCTGAATTCTGAACATTTTTGACTGTTCAGAGCATAAACAGCACTAAAATCCAAATTGTTGTTCAACTTACTGGGAGTGCCCTTGCTGCAGACATTTTCCAGAGGTGTAGTCTGGAGAGACTGCGAGTTTTTCCATGCACTGGCTCACTGAGTTGGCCCTTTTGACTCAAGGGGGAGTTATATCCTAGAGACCTCCAAAGAAAATTTGAGCTGCAGTTTCGTATGGTAGTTCAGGCATCACTACTATTTGCACCTCCCTTTTTTTTCCTAGGGTTTGTGGTAGGGAAGCCTTCTAATTTTGCAAGGCCTAAAACCAGAGATCCACTGCCAGCAGGACATAAATCTGCCATGCTTGCTAAGTTTCCACTAGAAAAAGGTACCAAGGGCAAAGAGCCTGAAATCTGGTTTGCATCACAGAGTTGGTTTCAGCCACCTTCAGCTGTGACAGAGAATGGCACCTCTCAAAGATTACGGACACCGTTCTGCAGTGTTTACTATCTAGTTCAAGAGACTGGGCAACTGGCAGGCCATGCTGTACATTAGACAAAAAGATGGCAGTTTTCTGGAAGGCTTTAAATCAAATGTGATCAAATTTGACTTGGGGCTGTATTTTACCCAGTGGCAGACAAAGTGGGCTCAGCTGTGCCACTGTCACGTTTGTCTTCCTGTGGCAACCCGAGGTCTGCGCAAGCGTGAACCTTTGCCCCCTTCCCGGGAAGTTGTGCTGTTAGCGCAGCTCTCCGTCTCCTCAAAAAAATGTTACCTCTGAAAGGCTACCTGAGCTGGAGTGCAGCTGAGTGCCTCTTAATGGAAGAGGAGAAAATTCATCACGGTGCCTGTGCAGCTCTGGCTGTATTGTCCTGCTCTTTTTTGGGCTGAACCTGGGGGATTGATGGAATGAGCTTGTCAGGCAAAGGAAGAAAGACAGGAACTGATTACAGGATCAGCAAGGCATGTAGCCCCTCTAATTGCATTCTATCACATGCAGATAGGAGCTCTGACATTAAAGAAAGATCTACCCACCCCCCTTTAACAAGCATTTCGTTTGCATGAAGTACTGGTTGCTTGTGAAAATGTGGGGAAAAAGGAACAGAGGGCAGACACAGTCTTTCTGCTGATTTTTATCAGCACGGCTCTGCCAAAGTCACTCACTGCTAGTTGCAAGGCACTCAAACTCTGGTTCTTGGATTATCTTCCTTCAGCTCTGCCACTGCATGTTGGTCCCGACCCCGAGGAGACAGTGCTTTTTCTACTTCCTGACATGTTCATAGCTCTGGCATTTTGACCTGGAGCTTTTCTTGCCTTTCGTGTCCAGATTCTCTCTTGAACAGTTATGATCAGAGCAGAAGTAGGAATTCCCAAATATATTGTGTCTAGAATTGTGACTGAAGCCAGAGTTGTCTCTGCCCTCTACAGACACACAAAAAGTGGACCGAGGGTGAGCAACATCTGAGTGATGGTCCCAGCCTGCATTGACTAGAGAATTCCCCATGCGTCTTTAAAGACCTAAAGAGCAGGACTGAGAGATTAAGGGCTGATTTTAATCTGTCTAAAAGTAACAATTCTGTTGGAATAGTTTTCTTTATTAATTGGAGACAGAGCATCTGTGACGGCTGTCAAGGAGGTAACTGTCATAAAATGTATGGTGTGTCATTGTAGGAGAGCAGAGGTGTCTCACAGAATGGAAAGTTGGAGGCAGAGGGAAGATTTTATATGACAGCTGAGAGGTGGGAAGAAAGGAAGTTAAAACTGGGTTGAATAAAGGAACCAACGGTAGAAGCAGAGAGTTTAGTGCAAGATTGGAAAACCTGGAGTTTTGTAACAAAACTGTCTGCCACCCTTATCTTTACCCGTGATATCTGTGGTGATTGCAGGTCCCAGATTCTGTCTGTGTATCTATCAGGTTATCTGTGCATTTTAAGAGTTCAGAATATGTTGCTGCCCCTCCCCTAACCATACTGTGAGAGTCTGTCTACTTTTTTTATGGTATCTCAGCTCCCAGAATCAAGTGACTGTGCAACTTAGCTTTCATTTAAAAAAAACCAACCCAAAACCAAACATGACTGTAGAGAAAAGTGGGAGAATGTGAATGCTGTCTCATGAGCAAATTAATTCTGTTTATCCCCTTTAAAATCTCTTGGAGCCAAACTCCCAAATCTGAGTGGCCTGCCTCATGATTTTTGAACACAGAGGGGTTGCGATACTGATCTTCTGTCACCACAGTATCAGATCATGTAATGCTTCATTCTGATCCAAATGGCCAGCTGGCCACAACGTTGCGTGCTGGGATCTGTAGGTTTTGCTGGCCATATGTCTGCATTAAAGATAAGCTTGTTTGCTCTAGTCCAAGCAGACAATCTGCTCAACTTTATGCACAATTAGATGTAGCCTTTCAGCTGCTGGCAGACTGCCAGCGTGGTCCTTTCTGCTGCACGGAGTGAGGTACCCTGGGCGATAGCATTTCAGGATCTAGTGTTGGGGCGGTTTTACGTGTTCGTGTAGAGAATGGAATGGCAAAGCAAATAGCAGTAATTCCTAGCATGCCTACAGCATTTTCACCTGATGACCTAATGTTGTGTTGATATGTCACTTGTCAGGCATTGGCATGATGGGGGAAGGGTGATTTTGCTGTGACTGTGGTCAGGCAACGCTACATCCTGCAAGGATAAAGGAAGGGGATGGGAGAAAGCCTAAGGTACTAGTATAGAATGGAAAGCTTGGGAGGAAGCAAAATAGGGGATGGAGAATTCAGTTCTTTGGTGCTTTCAGAAAAGCAGTAACTTGGCTCTGAAGGTTTGTTGCAGTTTACTGACTCAAATTGCTTTGATATGGAGATAAAGGGACACCAACAGGACACTGTTAAAAAATGGTGCAGCAGGAGAGGTATGTCATAGGCGATGGGGAAAACATGTGAGGGGAAATAGGATTTCTGTGAGTTTATTCAAATGTCATGACTCCCCGTCAAGAAATAGCTGCTTCTGGCTAGAAGCCTACCACAGTTCACCAGTGGAGTAGAAGTAGGAATTAGAACTAAAAAAACCCCAACAATGTAAGAAGAAATGCAGGAAGTTGTGAACAATTAGTGATTAATATAAATTGGAGTTGATAATGAGTAGAAAATGACAAAGGGAGCCAGGACAACCTGGAGCCATGACAACTGTATCAGTACTGTGTGCCAGTACTGATATTTTTCAACGGACTTATAAATGATCTAGAGGTAAAGGATTGGTGGAGAGACAAATAATGAGAACAGCAAGATGGCTACAGAGGACTGGTAAACTGGGCTTACTTAAATAGAGTACATTTTGATGTAACTATCTTCAAAATCACATATCTAAGCGCAGGGACTGGAAGCCAGACTTGTATTCTGGAAGCTTTGGCTCTGAAAGGAAATCCAGGCACAACCCACCAAACCTCAGCTTCCAGTCTGATCCCGAGACTTAGCAGGCTAATATGATCTGTAGATGTATAAACAAGGGCGTAGCAAACAGGAACAGGGACGTGACTTTACTTTTGCATATACTGTTCGTGGAATCAGGACTGGATTACTGCACATTGCAAAACTGGAGAGTTGCAGAAAAGAGCCACAAAATGATTCAAGGGCTGGTGAGAGACATAAACAGTTCAATCTGTTTATCTTATGGAAAAGAACATGAGAAGGACTGTATTGCACTGTGTAAATACTCCATGGAGTTTAAGTATTGGGTACTGAAGATCTAATTAGTATAGCGGAGGAAGGCGTAACAGGAACCAGCAGTGGAAAATCATAGCCAGAAAAACGAAAATGAAAAACGAGGTACAAATTTTAACAGTGAAATGATTACCAGCTAGCAAGCGCAATGGATGAGTCTGTGTCTCTTAGTGTCATGCTGGATGTCTTCCTGGGAATCGTGCTTTAGCTGAAGGCAATACAGGTTGCTAATTCAGTTTAATGGGCAGTGGTATGCAGGAGTCCAGAAGATTTCCTGGTATGCCTGGCTGTAAACTTGGCGCTGGCTGTGGA